AGGTGCGTTTCTATCAGTCTTCCTACCATTATGACCAAGTTGCGAAAACAAGGTCAAACAACTTCTTTCCCTACTTACTTTTGAAAATTAGTGGGGCAAATTGTGATCGAACAGCAGAATCCTAGCCTACAATATCGGCGCATGGGAATGCGTTCAATTGTGTGTTGCGTGCATGTAATGCTTGTGAGATGCGCGAAGTGTGAAAGTAAGGCTAATCAAGCCCCGTTTTGCTTAGTAGTATTTCTAGCTCCCTCTTTCTAACCCTACCGAACAGCTATTTGTATTTTTCGCTTAATTTATTACCCTCATTCTTTCTATTTAGGGTGTTGTCTGTTTTAGAAATGGTTTAATCTATCTTTTTCGAGAGCTTATCGAACGGTAACATTAGGACCGTCCACTCGTCTCTTCAAACAAAATTAAGGGTACTGCAGCATCAATCCATTAAGGGGTTTTTCGAAAACCAGTTTTTCTACGTTATTAGAAAATGCTAGTTGCCAAAAAAAGCGGAAAGGACTCCAATGCAAGTAAGGTTCACATCGATATAAAGAGATTACAATATACGACACTCTAAATAATAGTTTAGTAATCAATGAAGATTTTGGCAAATAAGAATTGTCTCAGAACTTAAGACATAGTCACCGTCATCCTTCAGTAAGTGCACTGCCCACAGATCAGGTTATAGAACTTTTCTATTTATGCATAATATCGTAACATCACAGCTTTTTTTTATTATCTAGCCTTGTTCCTTGAAAATGTTTCTAATTCGCTTATATAAACTAAAATCTGACTTATATCGGCCTAATATAGTATAAAATACAGCAAATTAACAATAAAAGATGATCTCAGAAGTTAAGGCAATATTTCATGAACAACAAGGGATAATTACCTTGTAACTAGGCATCTGTGTATCCATATTAAGACATCTAACAGCTTCTTCAACTACGGTTCTTGCCTCCCAAGGTAAGGAAGACACAGAACTGCTGCCGCGCACTATAATGGCTGGTGTCAACGTATCTTTCATAGCTTTGATTAATTCTGATGTGTAGTAGGAGTCAGAAAAAGAATTCCGAGAATTGTCATTATATTTGGCTAATTCCATTAGAAACGAGAGTACTTCTCGTGGACAAACTTGCTGGACACGAAGAGTAGCAACTGCTCTGATAATCGTCTTTTGAAGAAAATAATGTTGGAGATTTCCAAATTGATTTTGTCTGATAAGACCACGACACGTTGGCGAGCTAAAAAGTTGCCAGAAGATTGGTAAAAGGCAACTAGTAGCTGAGGAAGGCAAATTGCCTCCCAGAGTGGATGCCGAGGCAGCTGAAGAAAGAGAAGAGGCATTTACGGAAGCAGAAGGACCGGGAACTCCTGAAAATTAAAGTAAAGAGAAATTTAGAGGCATTCAAAAGCTAGGCTATCTAAAATAGGGCAAAACAGACTTTAGAGTAAAAGTCAGAGGGTAGGATACAAAACTGAACTTAACATATAATGTACTCAAGAGATTGGGATAATAAACCAGATAGCCCTTCTAGATGTTTTAATCATACAACAAAAAAATAGAACTATAGAAAAAAAAGTATTAAGGAAGCGTATTTGGAGTAGGCAACATTTGAATACTGACAGACTTGCACTAGGCCAATATGAATTAAAAGCATGTGAATAGGATTTGCACTAAAAGTACGATTTCGGGTTAAGTCAGCCTCTTGAACAGAACCGAGATGTGTAATGGCGACTCCAGCAACTCGATAAATAAACACTGCCAGCCCTTAAAAAAAGGTTACTCTAAGGTTACTACTCTTTAATAAACCTGTAGAAAAACGAGAGGCTTAGGGAAGAATTATAAGTTGTGACTCAACTAACAATAAAGCTATTCCTCACCCTCATGAAAATTGCAGCAACAAGGAGTCAAATATTCAGATAATGTACTCAGAAAGTATCTCTTTCTTGAGGTTCACTACATTGTATGGGGTCTCATCTTATTCCCTCTTTTTTTTCACCACTTAGAATAGTATCAGAAGTAATTTTATTGATATTATGCGTGTTAGCTGTTATGGGACACTCTACACCGAATCTAAACAGCGTTTTCAGAAAAAAATATGACTAAAAATAGAATAAGGGTGCTTGACATGAAAAACGAAGAAGACAAAATATAATAGAATATAGGTTTATAAGAGTGCTCTTGAATGAGAATGAATACAACAAAAGGTCTAAAACATGATTTAATCTGAAGCTATAAAAAGTAAACTCGGGAGTTTTGAACATCAGCAGCAGTTTCTAGAATAACAATCATAAACACTAGGGACTGAGGTAAATGTGGTTCAACCTAGCTTAGTTCAGACAAACTTATAGTCAAGTATATAAGATAGATCAATATAGATTCTAGGCGAAAAACGAAAGCTCAGCACCGATTTATCTGTAAGAATGGTGCTCTAAAATTTCTACACTTCTAATGAAGAAGTGCCCAAGGATAGGTCAAGCGCAAAAAAGACTAGTTTCCTGAAGTTTCGTAAAAAAACCTTGGGAAGCTAAAATACTGCAAATGAGCATAAAGAAATCTTTGAAAGGAAGTTTTACTGTTTAAATTGCTCACAAATAAAAATACACACGAAAACAAAAATTCAAAACTAAATGGAAGTGGTCAAAATTAATCAAATAACAAATGCTGTAAAAAGGATGGAAGTGAGATGTGCTTCACTGTTCGACTCAAATTCTTTAAAAAATTTAATCGAAGCATTTAAAGTAAACTAAACAACGAACAAATTTGTATATTTGAGAAGAGAAATTAAGAGTTTATTTAATTTCCGTTCTGCAATTTAATAATACCTTCGGGATGAGATCGAAGAATGCACTACGCACTGCGCACTATTATCAAATAGGATAACCAAACAAATCTTAAGATGTCTCGTTAAGTGGACAAAGTTAGGTTATAAGTAGGTAGGATTGCAGCTGGCCACCTTTCATC